GGATTTTTCTTCACAGCTAGGGCTGGAAATCACTCACCTTCATTTTGAAGAAATTTTTTGCTTTATATAAAACTCTAGATTTTCTAGCTTTCTTCCTTCAGCCATTGAAGATATCATTCCATTGTCTGGTAGCTTCCAATGTTACAGATGTGAAGTCAGTGGTAATGTTTAGTTGTTCCCCTAACTTTAATGTCCCCCCTTCCCTGCCTCCTTTTACTATTTTTCCTTTATCTTCAGTTTTCAACTGTTTGATTATGTTCTCAATTGTTGCTTTTCTTTGTATTTATCCTGCTTGCAGTTTGCCTATTCATACATTTCGAGAACATTTCAACAATCTTTTCAAGTACTTACTTGGTTTTGTCCTCTTTCTAGAATGCTGTTGCCTAAAGTTGGATTGTTTGATATTGTTGCACAGATCTGACACTGTTCTTTTTTTTTTCCTCTTCTTTTTTCTCTTTGTGCTTCTCTTTGGGTTTTTTAGTTGTAGAATTTCCGTTTTACAATTTTAGAGTTTCCATTTCTTTGCTGAAATTTTCCAGCTGCTCACTGTCCATCTTTTCTTCCAGAATCTATAAAATACAATTGATTGGCCTTGCCTGTTGATTCTAATATCTGTGTCATCTGTTCTTTATCTCTTTTGTGGGTTTTTTTTTGGGGGGGTGATTATATGTTGTACTTTCCCTGTTCCTCACCTACCTCATAATTTTTTATTATGTGCCAGACATTTTGAAGAACAGTAAAGAATAGATGGTGCCCTGCCCATAAAAGTATATGCTCCTTTCTCAGTTATTTAGGGTGAGGGGGTGATAACTCAGATCCCACCAAGCATGGAGCTGAGCTGGGACTGAGTCATAGCTTTTATTAGTTTCAGTTTATTTCTGGCTTCAAGTTAGATGTAAAAATCTTTCTTTGCCGTAAACTTCCCACATGACCATGTGCTTATCTCTTTGATTGTATCAGGATTTGAGCAAAGTGGAGGTTGTATTATAGTTTTAGTTGGTTTTGTTTCACATATTTCATCTCCAGTAGAGCCTTGGAACTTAGTAACTGCTTGGCTTGCAGAATTTTGTCTGCTTTCTATCCCAACACCAATCACTCAGAAAAATCCCTGTGAAGAAGTATTATGTAGTTTAATGTTTTGTTTTGTTTTGTTTTGTTTTGTTTAAGTATAGTTGATCTACAATTATTAGTTTCAAGTGTGCTAGATTTTGTTTTTGAGTTTGGGGATTTTCTAGATTCCAGTTCATCATGCCAGCCTACACAGTCATTAAAAGTTCAGCTGAACCACACTTGGGCACATAAGGGCTTGATTGATGGAAGGGCACATTTGGTTTAAGGGGTCATCCATATGGGGAGATAAGGAACTTGTTAAAGTGATCTTTGTGGAATCCTCCAGAAAGCTGTTAGATCAGAGCATTAAGATCATAAAAGCTGAAAAGTCAAAGCTGAGATTGTTGTTCAACAGGGTAGAGACATGATGCTTAGCAGTGAGCTTAATAAATCTCCCAGTTCACTTATGGGTATTATTTCCAATTTGTCTTGTATTTCTCTGTTGAGGGTTTTTTTTTTTTTTTTTTCCTGGTAAAATTTTCTGGGAAAGGAAATAAAATCTGTGGTTTTCTTGTTTTCTTTCAGATTTGGAGTCAACATATGAGACCAAAAATACAATTTCAGAAAAAGACATTTTTGAAATAAATTTTTCCCAATGGCAGATGAAGGAAAGAAGTAAAACTCTTGGCCTTGAGGCATCCATTTTCGAAAATAATTCTAAGTGCAGAAGCAAATTTGAGGGACCACAGGGACATCAAGAGGGATACTTTAGTCAAATGATAATTAGCTATGGAAAAATGCCCACTTATAGAAAAAGTAAATCTTTTAGTGCACATCAAAGAATTCATAATAGAGAGAAACGCTATGTTTGTAAGGAATGTGGGAAGGCGTGTAGTCATGGCTCAAAACTTGTTCAACATGAGCGAACTCATACAGCTGAAAAACACTTTGAATGTAAAGAATGTGGGAAGGACTTTTTTAGTGCCTATCAACTCACTGTGCATCAGAGATTTCATACTGGTGAGAAACCCTACGGATGTAAGGAATGTGGGAAGACCTTTAGTTGGGGATCTAGTCTTGTTAAACATGAAAGAATCCATACTGGTGAGAAACCCTATGAATGTAAAGAATGTGGCAAGGCCTTCAGTCGTGGCTATCACCTCACTCAACATCAGAAAATTCATATTGGTGTGAAATCTTACGAATGTAAGGAATGTGGGAAGGCCTTTTTTTGGGGCTCAAGCCTTGCTAAACATGAGATAATTCATACAGGTGAGAAACCTTATAAATGTAAAGAATGTGGGAAGGCCTTCAGTCGTGGCTATCAACTTACTCAACATCAAAAAATCCATACTGGCAAGAAGCCTTATGAATGTAAAGTATGTGGAAAGGCTTTTTGTTGGGGTTATCAGCTTACTCGACATCAGATATTTCATACTGGCAAGAAACCCTATGAATGTAAGGAATGTGGGAAGACCTTTAATTGTGGCTCAAGTCTTGTTCAACATGAGAGAATCCATACTGGTGAGAAACCCTATGAATGTAAAGAATGTGGGAAGGCCTTCAGTCGTGGCTATCACCTCACTCAACATCAGAAAATCCATACTGGTGAGAAACCTTTTAAATGTAAGGAATGTGGGAAGGCCTTTAGTTGGGGTTCAAGCCTTGTTAAACATGAGAGAGTCCATACTGGTGAGAAATCCTATGAATGTAAAGAATGTGGGAAGGCCTTTGGTAGTGGCTATCAACTTACTCGACATCAGATATTTCATACTGGCGAGAAACCCTATGAATGTAAACAATGTGGGAAGGCCTTTAATTGTGGCTCAAGTCTTGTTCAACATGAAGAAACCCTATGAATGTAAAGAATGTGGGAAGGCCTTCAGTCGTGGCTATCACCTCACTCAACATCAGAAAATCCATACTGGTGAGAAACCTTTTAAATGTAAGGAATGTGGGAAGGCCTTTAGTTGGGGTTCAAGCCTTGTTAAACATGAGAGAATCCATACTGGTGGGAAATCCTATGAATGTAAAGAATGTGGGAAGGCCTTTGGTAGTGGCTATCAACTTAGTGTTCATCAGAGATTTCATACTGGTGAGAACCCTTATCAGTGTACGGAATTTGGGAAGACCTTTGTTTATGACTCAAACCTTGTTCAACATGAGAGAACTCCTAGTAATGATAAGCCTTATGAATATAAAGGTTGTGGGGAAGCCTTTATATGGACAACTTATTCAAATGAGACAGTTGATACTGGTGAAACTTTATGATTGAAGAGATGAAAGAAAATTTTTTATGTGTATAAACAATGTGAGGAATCTTGAGAAAGCTTATGAATGTAGGGAATGTGCAAAAGCCTTATCTGTGTGTGGACAATTTACTTAATATCAGAAAATTCATACTAGTGAGAAATACTTTGAATATAAGGAATATGAAAAGGCCCTTAGAATTTTATACAATTTTATTGAATATCAGTTTATACTGATGTGAAATCATTTAAATGTAAGGAATGTGTGAAGATCTTTATTCGTGGCACAAAAGTCTGGTAAACATTGGGGAATTTGTACTCATTAGAAACACTTTAAGGAAGGTAGAAAGAACGAAAACCTAATTCAGTTTTTGCTGTGTGCATTAGAGAACTCATACTGCTGTGAAATTTTATGAATTTAAGGAATGTGATAAATATCTTAGGCTATATCATAGAATGAATGCAAATGAGAAACACTTTAAATTGGGATGTAGGAAGGCCTTTAGACAAGAACTACTAAAACTGTTGTCTAGAGACTTGTGCCAGTCCACAAAATTGTTACCTGTCCAACATGAGATGAATGTGGAAAATAAGAGTAAGTGTTTGGAAACTTATAGCAATTTCATATTGCCATAACATTATTATTGTGTTTATAAAAATATCAATCAGCTCATGAATGATTAGAAGTTAAAAAGTTTGCCCTTTCCAAGAAATAATTTGAGAGACAACATTCAGTTTTAAAAACATGAGACAAGTCACAATATAATTTAATTAGAATAAATGCTTCACTTGTCACCTCTCTGATTAGAATAGCAGAATATTCACACTACAGGAAGATTTGACTAATGTGTGAGTCATAACTTCCTTATGCCTATAATAGCATAATTTATAATAAATAGTGTTCATTTAATGAAGGTATAGAAGCCTTCCGACACTATTCAACCTTTGTTAAACTTCAGCGAATTCATCCTGGAGAATAACCTTGTCAATGTAACAAATATAGGAAATCTCTCACACATGGCACAAACCATACTTAACTGTCCTCACCATTCCACCTTCTTACTACCTATGGGATGTTGGGAAAAATGCTTATCTCCTTTGGGCATCGTCTTTAAAATGTTGGTGATGGTAACTAATAGTCCTGTTTCAGAGATTGCATGGATTTAGTATGCATCAGATCCTTGGAAGAGTTATCTCATATGTAGCCTATGCTCAATACATGTTTGCTATTGTTCTTATTATCTTCATCAGTAGTATTACTAGTAGCGAATTCTTATGAAAAGAATGCTCATTGGTGTAATGGATTTAGAAGAGCTTCCATAACCACTCATCCATTTGAATTTGATGGTTCTCATTATGGATAAAATCTAGAGAAACACAAACTTGAGAGGATTTTTATTCAGAGTTTATCCCTTAAGCTGCAGAAAAAATGAAGGCTGAAAAGAAATGTGGACTTAATGTTAAAGATGTTGGGAATATACCTATTGAAGAACCAGGGAGAGGTGTGAAACAATTTGCCTGTGATGAATAAAAACAGAGAAGTAGCCAGTGATTAAGATTCTCTGCTCACATTTTGAGATAAATTACAAATTAAAAAGAAACAAAAAATTGTCCGTTTGGGAATTCTTTCCCCAAATTTTATTATTACAAATTTCAGACACTTAGAAAAATTTAAAGAACAGTATAATAAACATCCATGTACTCTATTTAGAATCAATAATTATTAACATTTGATCATATTTGCTTTCTTTCTGAAATTATAGGTGTGTGTGTGTACATATACTTACCATTATCTTATGACATAGAAGTGATTCTTAATTCCTGAATATAGTAGCATGCATCTTTAAAGAATAAGAACAGCCTTTAATAACCATGGTCACACAAGAAAATTATCAGTAATTCTGTAATATTCTTTTATATTCACTTCATATGTCCCAATACTCCCAAGGTATCCTATTGCTATTTATTTTCTAACCAGCATCTTTTCTATATTCATGTATTGCATTTGGTTATCATGTCTCTAGATTTTAATCTTGAAAAGACTTTTTGAAATGTTAAGGAAAGCTGTTTTATAGAATGCCATGCATTCTAGATTGGTTTCTTCCCTCATGGTGAGCTTTAATTTGTGTCTCTATCCTTTGTATCTCTCATAAAGTCGAGTTAGAGCCAGAGACTTAAACATTTTTGGCCAGAATACACCATATTTGGTGATACATACTTCATATTGCAATACACCAGAAACACATAATACCCATTTTTCTCACTACTGCCAATGCTAAGTTTGGTCATTTGCTTAAGATGGTGACTGCTAGAGCTCTCCATTATAAAGGACTAGAGCTCTCCATTATACAACTAGTAAGACTGGTGAACCTTTCAACTACTTTTGAAAATGTAGTCCTATCATATGTATATGTAAGTTCTGAATTAAAGATAAAATGGAAACAATTACAGATTGTTCAAAAAAGAATGATAGTTAAATTGTGTATCAGAAGTTGTAGAATGTGCCTGAGGCTCTATTCAGTGGAAAATACCTTTTAATGTGTCTTGGAGGAAACCAAGATGCATCTGGCCAGATGGAGGGCCAGAACTATGCTCTGTTTTCCCCAGTATCTACACCATCCCTGTCACACTGAACTAAGAAGCTAGAAAAATAACAAACCCTAAACCAATATACAGAAGCAATTTATATAACTAAAATTGTCCCAGAACTTCTGAAATTATGTCTCAAAAATTACCAGTACTGAATAGTACTTGAGAAACAGTGGGATTCTCTGGTTAATGAAGCCTATGAAGTAGAAACTACTAAATCCCCCTCTCAAGGAAAAATCAAAAGCACCTAGTCAACTTAGAAAACTAAAGAGTATTCTATTGAATGAAATTGTTTGACTTCATTTAAACTGGTGATCTCAAACTTTACCATGGAAATACTGATTCCCATTACCTATTTCCATCTTAGGGATATGAAACTGCATTGGGAATGCTGCCATAACTAGGAGGCCCTAAAGTTGGATATTTCAGTCACTAAGTCTGCTTGTTATGTTGGAATGGTAGTTAGTATCATGCTCTCAAATGATTGCCTTCTAATGTTTTCTTTTATTCGTGAGTAAAAATCTTTGTTGTATCTAAGTCAAAAGGGCTCCTGAGTTATCACATGTCATTTCATCATCTCTTCCTGCAATTGTATAGTATTTAATTTGTTAATGTGATAATTTCTATTGACAGATTGTTTGATTTTCTCCCATTCCTGGATATACCCAGGTTAATTATTGGTATATGTATGTATTCTGGTGCACTGCTAGATTTCATTTGCTACTATTTTATTTAGAATTTTTACATCTCATGAGTGAGGTTATATAAAAGTTATATTTTTGAGGTATTTTTGTTTGTTTTTGTATTGCAATTACCTGTTCTTTAAAACCGTATGACTGTATTGGGTTGTTTTGTTTTGAATTGGAGATCTTATAATCACTTTTCTAGTTCCATCTGTTGATTTTCTTATCTTTGAAATTCTACTTGGGACACAACAAATTCAGAGTGCCCAGCACAATTCTTTTCAGGAGCCTTTGCAGCCGTGTAGTACCAGCTAAGATTCACATAAAAGGAGCATTACAACATTGAAAATCCTTCATTATGTCTTCTTGGGAATACTGTGTTGGGAAATCAGAGCTCCTTATCAGACTGTTAATGATCGTACTTGTGCATGTTTTTCTCCATATACTGAAAGTGGAGTTGCTTGGGTTTGGTCATGGGTATGCCTATGTTCAACTTTAGTAAGTTTAATTTTTCTAAATAGGTTCCAAAAATTCCAACTGGCACTCCCACCAACAGTGTATGAATGTTCTGCTTTCTCCATATCCTTGACAATATTTGGCATCATCAATTAAAAAGAAAAGTGTTTGCTACTCTGGTAGGTATCATGGTTTACATTTCCATTCTTTTCTGATTATTTATTCGCTATTTGGATATTCTTGCAATACTTGTCCACTCCTTCCTCCTGACATTGGATGTATTAGGTGTGTCCGGTTTCACAAAGCATTTGTAAAACTTGTAGGACAGCATTTACTGCCTAGGCAGTGACTGTGTGTGTGTGTGTGTGTGTATGTGTGTGTGTGTGTGTTCCCCCACCAGACATGAGCTGGTTGGTGGCTGTGATGGAATCAGTTTTATCTCTGCATCTCTAGCTCCCAGTATGAACTATGACCCTTAGTTATTTGATACAATTAGGATACACTCAGCAAAAATCAAAATACCAAACTAGCGTAAGCAATGAGGAAGTATATTGAGTCATATAACAGGCTTTTTTGGAGGGTGAGGAGAGAAGAGGTTCCAGAGATTTTTGATTCATCAGCAAAATGAAATATTCAGAGACTCAGATTCTCTTCTGTTTTTCACTTTGTCTTCCCCAGTGTTGGCTGGGGTACCATGAAGGCTGACAGATTTCTAGACATTTTATACAGGCATGACAATATTGAGGGAAAAGAGTAGGAGAGATCATTTTCTGTGACTCTTAAGGGCAAGGAACATTTCCCATTAGTTAACAGTATGTCTGCTCTTAAACCTAATTGTTAACTCATAGGTAATTTCTGAAATAATCACTGGTATACTTTAAATTAATTACAAACTCAAAGTTTTTATTTAAATGTAGCAGGCTCATAAATTTTACTATCTTTTTATGCATGTATGAAGAAAGAACCAGTGATCCTTTATTTTAACAACAAAAATTTTTACATATATATATTTCATAAAACATAGATGACAGCTTAAATTAAATGCGTATATTAAGACCATTAAGTATAATTACAGAGGTTAGTGTTTATTTCAAAAAGATAGCAAAAATTCTGAAGTATTAAATTCAGTATTAGAACATTTACTAGGAGTTTTTTATTTTCCGATTTTTTTTTTTTGTAACTATGAGGGACGGGAAATATTAATGGTTTAACCTTGTAAAATTTTTTCATTCTCCCAGAGTCAGAGAAGCCTACGTTTTTAAGTTTAATTCCTGGAATTCTGTTAGCTTCAAGA